CCCCCACCCCCCGCAGCCTTTTGACATGTCATACCATCACCGTCTCCACTTTACAGATGAGCAAACTGAGGTTTGGGGGAAAGCTCGGACATTTGCCACAAATCTCATGACCAGCAGAGTCCGGTTTGGGTCTCACTTTGTTGGATGCCACAAACTGGTTTAGTCACTGTCTGAAGATGCCTCCCATGGCTTCTGAAGAACCCGGAGAGCCCTCCCCAAAACCAAGACGTGGGGTTGGTCCTATTAGAGGCTCTCAGTTTCCCTCCTGATACTAAAACCCTTGGCTAAGTCCCCTCCTTGTAGCCTTCTAGCTGAGCCCGCTGGATCTCTGGAAAATGCAGAAGGGGGCTGGGCAAAATAAGAGGTTAAGGAGGGAAGGAACTAGGTCCCTGTATGGGAGGGGGATGGGGGGTGTGAGGACAGAACTCCACCCTTGTTCTAGCCCTAACGCTGGTGTTGGGGTGTCCAGCAGGTGGAGGGATACCCTGCAGGACAAGGGGACACAGGTCTGGGAATTCACAAGAAAACCCCCACAAAGGTTTTGATTCCCACCTGGAGGTCCCCTGCCCAGATATCTGAGGTCTGGCCATTCTCTGGACATCTCTGGGCATTTTCTGGGCACTTGGCAACACTCCCTACTGCCTGGTGAGCAGGCATGTCCCATGTCTCCCTTGATTCCCATCCTGGAACCTCTTTTCCTCCACCTCCATGCTTTTCTGTCACAGGGGTGATCTCTCCTGCTGCACAGATGAACCTGCTAGAAACTGCCCCCTCCCTGTAGGCAGCTGGAAGCTTCCTTGCACAGTGCCCACAGCACCCAAGTGGACTGTGAGCACCTGTCCACTTTTACCACTGCCCTACTGAGTGAGAGCTCTCCTAGACTGATGTTCTCCTGGAAGGGAGTCCAACAAGCTGACTGGTGTTTATCCCCCATACAGGCAATGACTCAGGATGCAATCAGCAGCCACAACGTGCACCGAGGACCGCATCCAGCATGCCCTGGAGCGATGCTTGCATGGACTGAGCCTCGGACGCCGTTCTGCACCCTGGTCAGGTAGGTCTGGGAACTGGGAGACATTCCAGAACTGGATGAAGCCTCAGAGGCCAGGTATCGCAGCCAGCAGATTCTGCTTCCATTCCTGTGTGCCAGGTGAGCAAGCCAGGAGGAAGACACAGTCCTTGTTTAAAGTCCTCCATATGAGGCTCTCCAGCTTTCTCTCACAGAATTTTCCTCCTCTCCCTCCTCCTCTTCCTCCTACCTTTCCTCCTCCTAGCACTGTCTTGTTTCCTTAGCATCTGTAGACACACAGAATGAAACCTGTTAGAAACAGCCACTATCTCCAAAAGAGCAGCTGGGACTGCAGACAACTCTCCCCAAACATTGTTTGCTTGTTTTCTGGTTCTTTCCACAGCCCCACTCTGCTCTTCCTTCAATAGTACAAAGACAGAATCTCAGCTAGGCTGCAGGGAGTCTTCAGGCAGAGGTAGTTGTGTCCCTAGAGGCTGGAGCCTAGTTGTGAGGATGCCTTGTGCTGCTGAAGGTTTCCTTGCACACTACATCACTTAGCTCCCTGCTCTGAGGGAGATAGCCATTGCTTCTTGAACATGCCTGCTTCCTTGCTGCCTCAGGACCTTTGTGCTTACTGCCTGGATCTCTTCCCTGGAAACTGGCCACGTCCTAAGCTGGTCTCAGCTCAGATGTCACCTCTGTGGACAGCTTTCTCTGTCCTTTGGAATTTGATAAATTTGTATTAACTCTCACTGACTGTACAACCAAGTACATTCCATTTGTCCTTGTGGGACCCCCAATGGGCATAATAATGACTAGAAGATGGGAAACTGGGTGGACAGAATGTGTGCAAAGGTCTAGCACCATACTAGCACATAGTAGAAGGTCAGTAAATAATGCGTTTCCTTCTTCCTTCCTTTCCTGGTTTTGATAGAGCCAAAGTTTACATAGAGTTGGGGGTAAGTATCATTAAATTAAGAAGTATGGAAATATCTAATTTCTGCAAGGCTATTCTTTTTCTGTTGTTGGTTTTTCCCCCTTTTTTTCCTGCAGTACTGGGTGTGGAACCTAATGTCTCATGCATGCTAGACAAGTATTCTACCACTGAGCTACAACCCCAGCCCTTTTTCAAGTTTTAAAAAGAAAAAAAATATCTATAGGTACATGGATATACATCCAGAGGCACTCACGACACACCCACAGGCATGGCCCCCCAGCTGCATGAAGGTCACATCCCCTACCACCCCTGATGCACTCACTCCCTACACCACTTATGCAACCCCATCCCTGTGGTCACCTCTTTAACTTTTAGGGGTTTGCCCTTGCTGACTTCAGGGAAACAGAGACCAACACATTAAGAAAGTCTGGGGAAGTCACCGTGACAAGTGCTTGGAGCTTTTCAACTTAGTGAATCAAGCTTCCCCTTCCTGGTCTCTGCTCCAAGCAGTCTTGGGAAGCCCCATGACCGTCGTGACTGTCACAGACTCCTCGGTTCTGGGGTGGAGCTCCTCATGGCTCCTGTCTTTCTTCTCCTAGCAATTTCTACCTCTGGCCCAACTTCCTTGCCTCTGGTAGGAATTGGCACCCACCATAGGAAAGCTGGGCGAGGGTGATGGTGGGACCACTGCAGCACCTGAGGTTCTAGAGCAGAGAATCAGCAAGTTCTTTGGCCTCTGAGGGATCCTAGGTCAGCTCAGCAGCCCTCATGGCTAGGGAGCTCCATGCAGGTATGAGAGTGAGAAACAGGCCATTAAGTCTTGCACACTTTTTGTTTTGTTGTGATCATTGTTGTTGTTACTTAGTATGGCTCACTATGTAGCCCAGGCTAGCCTTGAACTATGTAGCCTACGGTGCCCCTGAACTCATGATCCAACTGCCTCAGCTTCCCTAATGCTGAGGCTACAGGTCTGGCTTTGTTACATCCTGATGGAGCTTGGGGGCTTCTAGTGATGGCATTTCTCCCAGACTCTCTTTAGAAAGAAATACTCAGGTATATTCTCCCACGGCAGGATTCCAGAATTAAAACCCCTTCTAGCCTGTGGCTAGCCAGAGAGAGCAAAACTAACCAGTAGCCTAACTTGTCCCCTGTCTAGCTGGGCTGTGTCTGAACTGCTGGAGCCTGCAAGAGCTGGTCAGCAGGGACCCGGGCCACTTCCTCATCCTCCTGGAACAGATCCTACAGAAGACCCGAGAGGTGAGGGTGACCAAGATGTTGATGATCACAGCTAGGGCTGACTTTGTAGAGTCAAGACATAGGCCAGAGCTGAGGCTCCTGGACCACCTGGATGGCTTGCTCAACCTGGGAGGCCAGCAGCCACACTTGTGCACTGACTCTTCCTAGGAAGAGTGTTTTTCTGTCCAGTGTTTCACAACACTGTAGCAGGTGTTGTGAAGGCCTGAGTTTAAGCTACTTAGAACAGATATTGCTTGTAAGTCAAGGTATGGACTGGAAGGAGGGAAGGGGGGCGGGGAGCTTTACTGAATTCCTTTCTCAGAAAGATTCACAGCAATAGTGACAAGGAAGGGAAGTGATTGGCAAGGGAAGCCAAGGCCTCCTCTGACAGCTCAGCCTGCAGGCTTTTATGACGGAAGAGTGTGCAGGCTTTTAATGCTGACCCGGGCTGAGGTTCCAGAATGGACCAAGTACCCAAAATAGACTCTAGCTATTAGATTCTCTTTTAAGTTGTTTGTCTTTTTTTTTTTTTTAATGTATGACTGAGTTGTAAAGGTGGTTTTCTCTCTTAGCCAGTTATCCCTAGTGAAAAGTCCATCACTTATGTCTGTTATTTATTGAAGTATCCAGTCATTATCCTGGTATCAGATTTACATGGTGCCTTTGCTTACTGATCACAAGCAAACCAACTCAACAGCCATGCCCCCCCCACCCCACCCAACTCCCA